ACCCAGAGTGATTAGCTGGCAGCCACAGTTTTGTATCCGGAGTACCCTCTCGCTCCCGCACACTCTCCCCAACGCCCCCCGAGTCAAGATAGTACTCGAGCTCCCTGTGTCCACGAGACACTTCACTCCCCCGTCTACTCAATAATCGGCAACCAGCATGGCTTACCTCTAATATTGTTGCAGGTTGCTGTGCGGTCGCCTCTCTGCTGACACCCTTCTCAGATGCCACCTCGCTTCCTCCTTACCGCCGTCGCTCGTCGTTGCTCGCTCCGTTGGCTGCTCCTGCCTCCTTCGCCTCCACTGCTGGCTGGCTCGTCAGTCTCCGTTCCCGACGTCCCCGACTCCTCGGTTGCCTCTTCCGAAGATCCGTCTCTCTGCTGCATCCTAGCTCGTTTTTTCAACTTTTGAGCGTTCACCTCCATTGGCTCGTCTAGAGGTCTCTCTCTCCTGCGAAACATGTACGGGCACTGTCTGGCAATATGCCCTTCGTCCCGCACTCGAAACATCTAGTGCGCGGACATTGTGCTACCAAATGTCCCGGTTTCCCGCACCCGTGACATTTTCTGTCTTCCCTCCGGGGTCCATTCCTAGGCCTGGACTGTGTCCGGATCTTCTCTCGCCCGTCGTGGCTTTTTCTCCGTTCGGGTGTTTCATTTCCCTCTTCCTCCACCCGATCTGGGCTGTCCGGGGTCGTCTGTCACTCACCCGGGTCCACCCTGGTTCTTCTACTTCCATCCGCGTCTCTTCCTCTCTTGCACTCAGATCTATCATTTCTTGGGCACACTCGAGGAACGATCGCTCTCTAGGCAGTCCGTCCCTTCTCCCAGTCTCCTTAGCCAACTGAACCTTGAGTATTGTCGAAAGGAATTCCATCCTAGCTTCGACCTCTCCCACACTCATGGTTTCCGCATTTTCTCAGTTATGCGGTTGTACTTCGCCACTAGTACCCCCGCATACTGTCCTCTTGATTGGCGTTGGGACCGACACTCCCTAAACATTTGGAAGATATCTTCTTCCGGCGTCCATCGGCCCCCTCCGAAAGCCTTCTTCAAACGCTCCTTAATCACTGGCCATGGTGTCTCCTCGTCCGCTTGGATTTGGTTGAGGATGTTCCTCCTCACTCGGCACACGAGAGCTGCCTTCAGTGCTTCTGCGTCTCCCAGGTTCACGAGGTCCTCCGCCACCTTTGCTTCGATTCTTGATATGAGGCGGTCTCCACCTTTCAGGAAGTGATTAAGTTCACCTATCTCGCCCCCGAATCGCTCCAGGTCTGCGATTGCTCTCCGTAGATCCTGCGTGGTCGCTGCCCTTATCTTCATCCACTCCAATGCATTGGCGTGCGCCTCTGCCAATGTGTCCCTAGGTAAGGGAGGGATCTCTTGTATCTGCGGTACTTGAGGTATCTGAGGTATCTGCGGAATCTGCGGAACCTGAGGGGCGATCTGAGGAATCTGCGCTATCGGCATTTCCTGAGGTTGCGGCATTTCAGGTGCGTTCAACACTCCTGGTCGAATTATGCCCTCTGTCGGCATCTCGTCTTTTCCTTATGACTAGGAGAAGAGAAAAAAAAATTAAAATAAAGAAGAAAAAAAAAAATTTTACTTCCGTGTTCTCCTGACGTTCTCCCGGGTTTCGGCACCAGTTAAGCGTCTCCGGGCTTTGTAAATAAAAAAAAAGAAGGAAAGAGGAACGAGAAACAATACTCACGGCTTCTGAATTAAACACTGCTTTATTCGTTCAATAATCTGCCTTATATACAATTGCTATGTTTATTTACATTACAAGATGGTATTAAGGCTGATATCGCCAGTCTCCGGTCTTTATATATATATATATATATATATATATATATATATATATATATATATATATATATATATATATATATATATTATATATTTATATCTTCATATCGGCAAGCTCTACAACCTGAAAATCAGAAGAAACTACTTCTGAAAATATATAATTACTACAGAAATATTTAAACAATACAATCTTCATGCACGTACTCACAATGTAAATCAGAAGTGACCTATGCAGCTGTAACAACACGTTGTTTAAAGAAACATCATAACAACATACACACATCTAAAAAATCAAATAAATATATATATATATATATATTTATATATATATATATATAATATATATATATAATTGAAGTAATTGCTTCTGATTTTCAGGCTGCAGGACATATCGATATCCTATAAGGCGATATGAAGTCCTTGATGGATGCAAGCTCAAACAATTTTCTAAAATGTGTACCGTTGTTAAAGCTGTATCATCATTTTTAACACAAGTATATATATATATATATATATATATATATATATATATATATATATTTAGAGATAATTTTATATTTTTCTTCATAAGGCCTAGTTATTTAGAAATTTTATAGCTCCTATAAAATTTAGTTCATTTATGAAATTCGATTATTCTAGAAGCTAGAATAATCGAATTTTATAGAAATGTCACACACATTTTTATAAAAATATGACGACAGAAGGGACCTGCTACCAGGTGAGAACCAGTCGGCCGCCCTAGGTCAGGAGCTTGCGGATCAACCAGGTTGCGTAAGATGATGGTATGCGCCGTTCTCTCAGAGCCGGCATCTCTAGGTTATTTTTGGACATTCTGTAATGAATATTATTTCGTTCCTTTCAATTAACGAATTTGAAATATCAATTAGGATAAAGGATAAAGATTAATACTATTTAAAATCAGCATTGGGAACTCTCAATAACATTTATCAGTTTGTAAGAGGATTTTGCAGAGTACTCATCATTATGCCTTCCATTTAAACTAATGATGAATATGCCGATATGGTGTTTGTATACGGTTTTTGCAATGCTAATGCTGCCCGTCGTGAATATGCTAGGCGATTTTCGAATAGAAAATTATCAAACAAGTCTATATTTAGCTTCACGATAATGGCTAAATGTTAATTATCCCAATCAATGGATTGGCCGTGCAGGACCAGTGGTTTGACGTACAGGCTCTCCAAACCTGACACCACTGGATGTTTTTTCTTGGGGTGGCATTAAACAAAAAGTCTATGTCCGGTCAACAACACATATCAGTAACAATAACACATATCCAGTTCCGTTTTGCCACTGCTGCTGTTGGAGAAAGATGCCGAGCTTGTCTTAGTGCTCAAGGAAATCACTTTGAATAACATTTAATATGAATTTCATGTTTACGCTTAATTAGTACAGTATTTGGAACAAATAAATAAGTTTTATTTACTTATTATAAGGTAAATAATTCATAACAATGAAAATCTAATAATTTTTTTTCCCTAGTATGGAAGTAATTTAAATATTCTGGAAAAGGATGACTGTTTAGCTTAATATTTTCTTCCACCTCAATTTTATGTAGGTTAAAACACCGTATTTTGTAGCACGGCAGTAACCTTAGTAACGCCATAGGTTTCTTGATTAAAAAAAAAAGAAAAGGAAATTTTAATCTGGGACATTTGGATCCTCTAAATATAATTATAACAAACAATGAAGTGACATTTGTCTTGCATAAGAAGACAATCAAGAATTTATAAAATTTCACAGATATCGAACTATAAAATTATGGGAAAGCACATGTAAACATATAAAATTATAGATAAATGTTCAAGAGTGTTTTCACATATTTGTAATAATAAGCAATATATATAAAATATAGGCATCTGTAAGATAACAGTAAAATGACTCTGACAGCTCTAAAGCATAAAAATATTATTCTTAAATGTATTCTGAAGATTGGTTGCTGAGAAGATGGAAAATAAATGGTGTTTAAATGAGGTTCAGGATGAGGACTTGCGTACGGAGGTAGGTAGGGTATTCAAAAATAAGGTAACACGAATAGGAATAAATTTTTTAAAAGAAAACAGTTCTATGAACAGGAATAAACAGATTTCTGGACTGGGATCTCGTGTTGAATGAATGGACGGAGGAACAAGGAGTAAACTTACGAAGAAGGCAAGAATGTTTTTTTTGCTTATGAAGATTCCGAAAAGGAAAAGACCTAGGAAATATTGATATCTTCTGTATAGGAAAACTGGATAGAGCCACGTCAACTAGGCAAAGCAACTGGAAACGCGGGAGTGCCTGGGGACTCCAAAGACGAATCAAATGAAACAATTCATTAATCTTTTCAATTTGATGACAGTCCACAGTAAACAAGGCAGCCGCAATGGAAGTGAGAAAAATGAGAGAGTAAACTAGGAGCTGACGAGTTTTAAGGGGCATAGAATCATGGAATCTCAGGAACTCTTTGAGGATAGGAATAGATTTTCGGGTAATGTGATACAATCTATTATTATATAATAACATATTACACAATAATATATATATATATATATATATATATATATATATATATATATATATATATATATATATATATATAAAGTCCCCTCAACACTTATTAACGAACATTCGTAACGTAACGAAATTTAGCCAGTTTCCTTTTGACATTTACTGGCAAGGATCCCTGTTGTGCAAACCGCCCCGAAATATCGGCATTCCGGCCTTAATTCTTATCTTAGCCAGTAGCCGTTAAGCGAGTTTGGGCCGCTAGTGGCCTCGGGATATAGGCAATGACCAACCTACAAAACAACATGATGAAGTGTGTTACTTGCTGTAAGATATTCAAACAGACACATCTCATTTTTCCCGTCATCAATTTTTCTATTGTTATTTGTACCGTAGAAACTTACAACTAGCGGACCCCTGGCCTGAGGAAACACGGCATAGTCTAAGAGGCGAGGAAGGGGTAAACGAATGTTGTTGTAGGTATATAATTGGAGATATACCCGTTCCTATTCCTTATAAACCATTCAGATTTTTACCATATAAGATGATTTGAAAAAAAAGTAATTATTTTTGAGTTTGATTCAGCAAACCATTTTATAAATCTCTATCGCCCTAAGTAAATGTTAATTATACTATTAAAAATAATTTTCTTCAAACATTGAAATAGGTATAGAGAAATAATAGGCACAATTAGACTTTTAAAAATAAGTTTATAATGAGTGTGAATAAATAATTTGATACAAAAGTGTCGAAAATGGAGCATGAATGATGATGAAGATGAAGATTATGATGATCAATGGAAGCCATGGTAGCCGTGGAGGAGCGAGCCGTGGCTGAGGGAGATCGGCTCAGCGATCACTGGAGCGTGGACAGCCACTGGAGCGGCCACTGTCCTCACTACTGGAACGGAATTGTGGACCACTCGCACTGTATTAGCGTAAGATGAGGCGTGGGTGGCCACCAAGGGGGTGTGCACTGCCACGGGGGCCGCCACCAGAGGGTGGTGTCCGATCGCTAGGGCGGGGCCATGGGCCAGAGGGGCGCCGATGATCCCTGCGCTGACAGCGGCGAACAGCAGAGGAAGGACTACCTGCAACAAGTGAAATGGTCCAACAATAAATCATACTGATTTATCAGTTATAAATTAAATACATATCATATATTAATAATTTGTTTTAAACAGTAATAATTGAAAAAAAAAACTCCATATTAAAAAAGAGCCAGTTTCTTTAGAAGAAGCTGATCCATGGCTGTATGAAGGTCTTGAGAAATTTTGATGGGGGCAGACTGAGTGGAATAGCCAGGCCGGAAACCGGACTGGTTGAGATTTAGGAGGTTGTTCTTAAATTAAAACCCAGTTAAAAAGTCGAATAACTGGGTTTGAATTAGTCGCTCTGAAGGTTTGGAAAGGTTTGAGAGGAGAGCAATTGGACGGAACTCATTAAGGGTTGGTGAGTTGGAACTCTTCTTCATATTACGAACTAGTGCGGTTTTCCAAGATTTAGGGAAGGTAGTGTTTTGTAGTGAGTAATTATAGGTATGGTAGAGGATTGTAATTATGGTTGTTAGTGAGGCTTTGATCAATAAAACTGGAATGTTATCGGGCCCATGATCATTGGTATGTGATTTCTGAATGGAGTTGAGGAGGTCATCACGGGTAATATAGCGAAAAAAAAGTGAACAGGATTAAAATTAAAATGAGAATACATAGGAGTCGGTGTGGCATCATGCCATTAAAAACAGTCGCCGCAGCTGCCTACTTTGTAATCGCTTTGAATCATAAAAGGAAAATTCATTGCGTAAAATGTGAGAAATTTTTTATTTTTTTAACTTGTAAATTAGGGTTCATACATTTTAAAATAGGATAATGAGGTATACAAAAAATTTTTCATGAAGAAATAACGAATTCGAAAAATATAATTGATCTGTATTAAAACTTAGTACTCAGTGGAAGTGGAATTTGATGTTCTATAACTTTAATTCTATAAGTTTTTTCCATTTGAGAACTCATTCCCAAGCTGTAGCGCCATTTACAGTAAATTGTCTGTTTAACATAGCACTTAACCAAATTACTAAGTTTAGGTTCTCGTTCGACGCACAATTTAACTTTATTGAATTTATGAAAGAAAAGGTTTTTCGCTTTGTTGCACCGTTTAGGAACTATAAGTAAAAAAACAAAAAAAGGTCGAAATAATCTGGCTTTTTTTGCTATGGAAAGTTTTTAGTGGCCCGCGTCAGCAATTTTGTTTTTTACGCGTGTCAACCAATATAATACACGTTAAAAAAATAAGTTACAATACGACATTTAACATACAAGTTAAAATATAATGTTTCTCACATTTTTCACAATGAATTTCCCGTTTTGATCCTCAAGTAACTAACCCAATATTCATTAATACAGTCGCCATTTTTAGTGGGAGTAAAATCCGACCGGAAAAACTCTCATTTTTTAAATAAAGATGTTATAAATATTAAAAAAATGCTTTTTAAGTTTTCATCAAATAATATTGATTTTTTCTCCTGAGCTCTCAGACTATTAGGTTGCTCGCAATTGTAGTTTGTGTCATCACTATATATATATATATATCCCTCCTTAAAATTAAGACAAATTTGGACAAAATTAGATTTTTAATTTGAGTGAAGGAGCGGTGTAGCTCAGTAAGTAAAACAATGATTTCCTATGTTCAGAATTTCTAATTCTAGTAAGACTGAGGCAGGTAATTAATTATTCGTACTGTTACATTTGCCTAGTTCGATCCTAACATCGGAGGACCCTACAGGGAACAGTCAGCCTAGTTAAAGTGGTTACTCTTAATTAAATAATTTGACTGAAGGAAAAAGCCTGGCGAATGCGATAACGGAATAAGCATCTATCTACTTCCACTACCGTTGGCCTTGAAACTGTACTTTTTTACTAAGTATTGAAACGAAGAAACTCATTTGAAGATGGGTTGTAGTAGTAAAGGTTTTTTATTTTTATTGTTTCGATATAGATGGAAGCATTCCATTGTGATCAAGAAGGTGGCAATTGGTTCATGGCAACGCTCTCAGTTTTGGGCACTCTAATTTTGGTTACCATCCAGATGTTAGTTCACGATCTTAATTTTTGAAAATCCTTCTCGAAAAAAAGGATTGGTTCTCCAATCTTATTTTTTGTGCAAATTAATACTTAAGATTACAGTTATTAAAGTTTTAAAAAGTTCGCACTTAATAATTGTTTATATTTGTTGTTACTAGTCGGAATAGGTAAAAAGGATAAGATCACGTGTTACTTGGATTTCATTTCGTATGCCTATTAATATATATCAAAAGTAATAAGAACATCCTCATAACAAGAGCATCTTGCGTCCCCTAACATTTATATTGGTGTATTTCATACTCCCAATGACTCATAAACTCAAAAGAAATATGACTATGCCGGAGTAAAGATGTAAACATATCTCGTCTCTGAATCTTGAATTTTGATATTGTCCTTTGTAACTCCATCGAGTTCCTCAAACGACTAAAATAGAACATACCTTAATGAGGGATATAAAGGAATTGAAGGCGATGATATAGCAGTCGCTAAAAAAAAAAATGGAATACAATCAGTGAAATTAGTTCATAGGCACTGAGTACTTTTAATAACATATGATGATTAAGAAAAACATTGTACTGGAGGACTAAAAAAAAATAATCAGTTTTTTTAGTTTTCGGAAGTCTCGAATATAAAATAAAATAATAGCAACTCTTCATCAAATTGTTAATAAACAACACAGCCTAAGCCTGACGAGAAACCAGTTGTGAATAATAACTGTTCTCCAGCGGGTCAATGCTCGAATAAAAATATTATCTCAAGAACATATTAATAGAGGATCCGATCAGCCATCTCTTACTAAAATATATACATACTTGTGTGTGTCTGTCTGTCTGTGAGCGACCGCGTGTGTGATCCAGAATGTGATGCTTTCCTGAGGTTTAGTCTCCATTGATGGTCTATTTCAGAGAACGGAACAATTATCCTCGTGCGCCTGCTGAATAGGAGCAGCCCTAATCCATAAATCTAGACTGATAGATTTCCCATTATTCTTCAATCCAAGTGAGTTGGTGGAAAGAAAACTGTCAGATTGAAAGCAAAAGAATGTTACGGAGGAATGGGCGACCTACCGCTGCACCGTAGAGGTCATGGTCCGTAGCAACGTTAGGTTGGGTGACCCTTTTACTTTGAAAATATTAGTGCTCCCGCAAGCACTACACATCTGTGAAAAGATCTCACCTCGCGGCCAAAAATCTACATGGTCTTAGAGCCAAAAATTCACGACACTACAAGTTAAGTAGAAATCACATACATAAGGTGTATACTAACAAAAAGTATAAATTCCATTCTAATTTTTTTAGAACTCTATTTTTGAAAAGTTTATAAAGTGGCTAAAATCAATATTTCTTAAAAAATGAATTTTCATCTCAAAGACAAAGAGGACAATAAAAAATTTGTTTTTCATTGCTTTCTGTAACTATTTTTAAGCGTTAAATTCTCTATCCTTTATCGATGAATGTTCAGAAAAATAATACTTCAGATCCGAAAAGATCATTAAAAAAAAAAGAAATAGTATTGGCATAATGTTAGACAGCCAATATTCAATACAATTATTTTATTTATTAAACCATAACTTAAATGTTTTCGTTTAACTATTAAAAACAAATATTTTTCCTTATATCTAGCTACAGTATTATAATTTTTTCTGGAATAGAGATTGAGAATAACTTTCTCCACAAAGCGGAAATCAAATTATTTATTTAAAAATCATTATGTTCATTTATCAATATAATTATTGTCCCTGTGACAGAATATTGTATGTCTAAATAAATAAATAAATAAAAATAAAAAAAAATCAAATATCCATCTCTCAAAAGCGAAAAAAAATGGATTATATTCTGAAATTATTCATAAAGATTTCTCTTGCTCCTAACTATAAAACCAATTGTAATCAAGCTTTAATGGACCGTTTATCTTAAAGTCAGGCAAGGAACGCAAACGTTTTCAAGAACATCTCTTCCCTATTGTGGCTAATGTGTGCAAGGTCTGAATCACCTCCATTCAACATGTCAGTCTCATGAATGACATTGAACCCACATTTAATACAAATGTTTTGTGAAGGAAACTATTGAAACTTCATTCAGACTCAGTGTCAGTTCCCAACAGATTGGCATCAAACGAGGATCTGTCGCAATCGAGGAAACTTAAAACAAACAAAATCCGTTATGAAACAAAACAAACATATTCCCAGGATTAAAACATAAAGCTTAGCGGCGGGGGAGGGAAGCTGCAATCCTTGATAGAGATTGCAGGACCTTCTCAAAACAATACTTAGTCGGGAAATTTCCCGTTACCATCTTAGTTTGTGGGAATGTTATAATAGGCCGTTGACTAGGTCGGTTTCTGTTCTCAGCTTTTTCTTGTTGAATTTCTAAATTATAAATTTCGTAACTTGATTTTACCTCCAGATTTAGAAAGTGTATTAATAACTAAAAATAAATAAATAATAATAATAACAATAAGCTAGTAAATTATAGAATTCCATAATTGAAAAAAAAAAAAGTTTCATAGATATAATGGTTTTTTAAAAATATGGAACTGAAATTTTCAAACAGGTAAGAGGCATTCTATTCGCCATTTTTTATATTCCACATCAAGCTATGTACACAAAGCCGATTGGAATCAGTTTCTAAAAATGTGTTGTTAAGCAAACCCAATTTCAGTTGAGTTGTGGAAGAGAAGGGATGTTTTTTTAATATTTACAAATATTTCAGTAACGCGTTCTAATTTCAAAATTATCCTTGAAGAAATGACACCCAAGGAGGAAATACTAAAAATTAATTAACTAATGAATCCTTTCTATCTGTCTAAACATTCAAATGGCTGATAGATAAACATGAAACCAATATAAATATATTTTAAAAACAAAAACAATAAATCAAAGGAAAAATGAACATACAAATATATTATAAACAAAATATTAAATATAAAAATAACAGGAACATAAAACAGAATTATTGCATACATTTTAGAAATGTTTGAAGGAGGAATAAGTAACATTTAATGGCGATTACAGTTTCAAAAATAATGCTTAATCATCTTGTTCTAATTTATCATTTAGCCAAGACATTAACTTCCTATAGTGTACTTAAGATCTAAATTATTTTCTACAGTATATTTATGGTTGTAATTAGATTTGAGACATACTGTAGAAAATAATTTAGAACTTATGTTTAAAAATTACATTTTACACGTCAGAAAAGAAAAAATACAAACAACACGTTTACTGCATTTCACATCGATTCGAAGATTTTCCTAGGAGATTCTGACATTGAGGAATGTCTATAACTGAGAGCTCAGGGAAGACAAAACCCATCGAAGAGTATAAAAAAAAAAGAAAGAAAGAAATTTAAAAAAAAATAAACTCCTGTATGTTTTTAGTAATATATTTAACCAAATAATTGAGTAAGCATCATAAGTTCAATTTTATCAAACACTTGATAGTGCGCACATAACAAAAAATAAAAAAACATTGGATGTTTTTAATTAAATAAATATGGATCTAAGAATATCAATAAATCATTAAATAACATGACTGATATAAAGAATCGAAACATTATTTATTCATGTTTTATAAACTCAACACAGTCAGTAATAACATATAGTGTCGCTAACGGTCTGAGAGCAACACACAATCTGCATATGTCTGTATGTGGAAAGCATGGCTCAAATTTATTTTTGGCTATTTGAAATAATTAAAGCTTTCTCATTGCCATTACTAATGCAAATGGATTATCATGAACAATGAAAGAATTTAATAATTAACTATAAAAGGAAATGGGAGAAATGTTTCGCAGATTGTATATAAAATTCTAATAATACGGGTAGTGAAATAGATGTATAGTGAAGATAAAAAAATTATAAAAATTAACATCTTACACAAAAGGAAATGGAAAACTATTTTAGCTTCACAAATTCAAAATTTATAATACTCAAAATTGTCATATATTATTTTAATAGTCGTAAGTTAGTATCCAAAGTAAAGTTAATATTGTTAATATTTATTAACTTAAAAAAATATATATACTTAAATTAGGGTGGTAAGTGAAAGCCGATTTTGTTTATAAAAAAATTCTTTATAATACATAAAAAAATATGTTTCGGTATTTAATAAGTAAAGTAACTATAATTAAATTAAAGCTATATATTTATTATTTTCCTATACATAAAAATGGAAAGGAGTGCGGTAGTGAAAAATTTCGGAGTTTTCAACGGAAATAATAGTTTTGAGATTCCTAGAGTCCAAATAACCAAGTCTTGCCAAATGTATTGTGTGTTTGTTTAGAAGAATGTGCAAGGTGTAACTTAAAAATGAAAAGTACGAAACTGAAATCTTGTATTAAAGGTATATATTGTCAGTTTACTGCAAAAAGTCATTTTTTATTTATTTAGGTTAACTTTAAAATATATTTTGGTCAATTCCTACAGTTTTGATCGATACAATAAAACAATAAATGCACGGAAATTTCATAGACTCTGTTATATATAAAATACAGCTACAACAAGCCCACAATTTTTTTATTTGATAAAGGAAAACGTCTTCAAAGCTCTAAATTATTTAATGTTATGTGGCTTAATGACTTGCAATAAACCGAAAATATATTCCTGGGTTGCTAATTTTCACTAAGTCGGAAACTTCATATAACAAATTTTACACATGTTCCACACAGATGGAAAAAATATAGAACATTTTCACTATACTTGTTATTTCATTATTATTGTTAATGGGTATGAACAATATTGCTATTACTAAGGGGACCAAGTCCCAGAATAATGATGATTTTCTATTGTATCCTATCAATGTAAAACAAATTGTTATTAATATCAGGTGTTTCGTATCCTCATTATAATAGCCTGGCAGGGCTTAATTGCCGTTTTTTAAAAAAGGCTCTACCCTACAATATAATTTATTGACTAGATATAAAATAAATTTTACAGAATGTCTGATGACAGCAATGATTTGTCTAAATGTTAAAATTGTAATATATTTGTTTAGTTTGTTTGTTTTTTTATATATTCAGGAAGTCTTTTTTTGCCATAAATTAAATCAGTATCTACAATCATTACATAAATCACTATATTTTATCCCATTAGAAAAAACAAAAATACTACAAACTAAACTGTTACTATATTTCACATCTGTTCAAAAAATCTTTTAGTTGACTCTGACATTGAATAATATTTATTGCTGAGATCTCAGGGAAGTCATTAAACTCGCGGAAGAATATTAAAATAAAATCATAACTGCCGTCGGTTTTAGTCATATATCAACGAAAAACGATTAATTCAGTTTTGCCTGTCTCAAGAATTTTTTTCCTGGAATCGTTCCTTACGAGTTTAGACTGACATAAAACCTTTAAGTTTCATCAAATACAGTTCCTTGATTTGTGAGAAAGTATACTCCAAAGAATAATTAATATTATTTTAAACTATCTTGAGTAAAAATATATTTTTTTTTATTGTTAAACATCTACTTGATTAAAATAGTTCGTGTATCAAACGTTAATTGTAATATCTAAACAACGAATTTTTATTTAGGGTTCGTTAACACTAGTCGAGTTATGTACAATATAGCTATGGGTAATTCGATTCTTTTACAGTCCGATTCGATGTTTATGGATTGCACTTTTTCGATAATCGATATAAACCGTTAACAATTATCGTAGAGGATCATTGGACAGAGGAGACGAGCAGACAGAACCGGTAAGGTGGGTCTACCTTGAAGCCATGACCCGATTAAGTCCGAGGTGGCGAAACCTGATCCAATTCTCCGGCTCCCAGCTCTGTCCATACAGTTACCTCTTCGCTATTTGCCTTTCTGTCCATGTTTTTTAAATTTAAAAGGTCACACATGAGAGAGGGCGCATTAATACGACAAGAAAAAACAAAACAAAAAATAAATCGATTTATTTTAATTTTAATAAGATGATATCTCATAAGCATGATTTATTTATTTTAAAATTAATTTTTTTAAATTGACAGGAATTAAAATTGTAACATTCATAAAATTGAAAATAAAATAAATTAGGGAAATAAAATTAAAATTAAAAAAAAATCTATAATTTGTCGAAAAATATTCCTTTTATTTTACATATAGATTAATTAATTAATTTCTTTATTTTTGGAAACAAATTTAAAAAATTTTAATGAGGAAGCTAGTCAATATTTTAATAAATTAGTCGGTTTTAAACTACCTATCATTATATATAATAGATGATGATGAAGATATAAATTGGGACTAAATCATATACCGAGACGATGGAAGCCATTAATTATCGACCTTAGCTGCTATCGATTGTATTTTATCGATGTACTTACGAGCTTGAACATGTTGATGTCTGTGTGATGAGATGTGCCTGCAACAGCTGACTCTGCTCTGGAGGTAGTGATGCCGGCTTATATCCCCGTATACCCTTCACTGAACGAGAGGAGGGGAGCGTTGTGCAAGTTGTCTAGCTCTAGCAAGGAACTGTCGAGGGTACGTGCTAGAGAGATGCCAAGGAGGATACCTCTGATGAAGAAGTCGAGGAACAGGATGTCGGAACGATCGACAGGTGTAACGGATCGACAGAACTGCCTGAGATCCTCAGAGGTGAGGCTGGAGTGATGAAGATGAAACTTAATACAGGAGATCCACATTAAAATATTATCTTACCTCTTTTGTTCTTGAGACCTTATGTTTTTTAAGTTCAATTTTCGCAGCACGAATAGATTAGTAGATCAGTCTATTTGTAATTTTGTAGTACACACAAAAAAAATAAGACTTTGAAGAGAAGTTTGTTAGGATTTTTTTATATTTTTAGGATGTCAAAATATAAAGTAAAAATAAATTATATTTATTCGTATGCCTTTTTAGCAAAATTTTCGGCCAAAGTTTCAAGCATTCATCAGGGCTAGTGTTGCCCAAAGGCGAGACCAAGAATTGTCTTAGTCTTGCTTACTCATTGTTTGTCTTGGTCGTGGTCTTGCGCAAGAGTCTTGTCAAGAGCAAAATTGTCAAGTATTTATAAGGATTTTGCCTAAATTTATATTCAAAAAATCGATTTTCGTTTTACCAGTCTTGGTCTTGGTCTTGCAACAGTCAGGCAGTCTTGGTCTTGCAATGTGCAGCATTGCTACAAACTTCCTAAGTTTGTCCAATTATCAAATTATTAACATCTGCCCAGAAATTGATGTTATCAAAACTGCATAGGAGAAATAAGAAAAACTAAACTTTTTTTTCAGAGTAAACGAGACCAATACTTTTCATCAGTCAGAACGAAACTATTTAAGCTGGAATATAAAAATATATCACACATCAACTCGATACCACGACGAATTGGTTGAGCTTCAATAGTAATAAACACAATCAGAAATAACTTTTTTCTTTTTTCAAACTCAGAGTAAAAATTAATTTAAATTTATTGAAAATTACACGAAATCTAAGTAACGTTTGAAATCGACGAAATAATAGAATATAACTCATTGAATAAGACCTAAAATTTTATAATCACATAAAAATATTGTCATACCCTAACTCCCACTCCATATGATCAGTGCCTTTCACATTTCACTGTCATTATATTTTTGACAATTATTTATATTAATTTTAATTATTAAAAGGAATTCAATGAAATTGATATTATGAAATTTTTATACTATTCTCCAAATTTCCTAAAGGTTGGGTCAAATTGTACGCGCAGTTTTCAATCTGTTGGCTTGCCAAATAATGCATGCGTTTGATGATCCAAAAGCAAAAGTATTTTTTTTTTTAGGAGAAGTGGATAGAATTTCATAAAATTCATTCCTACTTCATTATCTGTTTACCCATCCCTAACTTTCCTCCAAATTTTAGACAAATCGAACATGCAGTTTTAGAGATATAGAGGTATCAAGGAAAATACGTTAGCTCATATATGTGAGAAGTTAGTAGACAGAATTCAATAAAATCGACATTACGTTATTTTTTCACCATTGCTTAACTTTTATCGAACTTTGAGCCAAATCTAACGAGCCCTTTCTGAAATATTGGCATATCTAAAAAAATACGTTTGCACGTGCGTAATCGGGAGTGCAGGATGTAATTTGATAAAATTGATATGCAATCATCTAGGCACCAATCCGCATAATCCCTGAAAATTTCATAAAAATCGGATGAATGGTACTAGGAGATATGCCCGTCACATCAATTTGACTACAGACAGACAGACTTCGGACCAAATTTGATCCTTGATGTCTGAAACGTAAAACGCGAGTGGAAATTTTCGATTCTGAGCACAAAATTTTTTTTAACCTCTTGCACGAACGTAATGGTTCCCTACCTTCGGTAGTGAGGAAGCAATGGTAAGTTATCTACTAAAAACTAAATACAGAGAAGTGAATAAAAATAACGTTAAAAATTACCGTGTAAGTACTAATCTGCAGCCCAACCCCATTTTTATGAAATTATTAACATCTAAAATGGATATTTTTATCTTATCTTAACCGATAACTTTTTTATTTACGAAAATTCTCGGAAATAAGACGGTTTCAATATGGAGGTAGGTAAACTTTTTCTTTTTAGTTTAGATAATCTTTAGATAATTTGATCTCAAAAACTAGAAAAATATAGCCTAAAAATCTTGGGTCGTTTGACATGGCCTCTACCCCCAACATGTCAACGAGTTACATAGTCCAGTCGGTCCAATATTTTTGTAGACCAGCTTTTTCTCAATTTTCTGCGCAAATTATCTTACGATTAAATGAAATGGGTTGTTAATAATTTGATAATGAGACTATATAAGCTATTATTATATTATACCTTATCATTAAATACAGTAATTAAATATTTTAATTTATATTACACAACTCATTTTGAAAATAACTGAGCCCATTTTTATATATTTTTAAAACCGTATCCTATTCTAAAAAAAATGTATTAATTAAGATTTTAAAGTTTTAATTGTTATTTTTTTCTAGTTTAATGAAGATATGTGTGTTTTATGAACTTTTTCCATCACAAAATATTTACAATTTTGGGTAGTCCATCACTAGTGCAAAATGATGTTTTGGTAAAATAGCGATTACACTTGCATAGCTGAATATTTTTCAACTACAAACTTTCACTATAAATTTTAAGTATATACATAAGAAATCCTAAAGATCCTAAAAATTCTTTGTAGTTCGAAACTACAAAGAGTAAGGCGGCGGAGGACAAAAATGGCAAGCATTTTCTCAGCTATGCCCATTATTAGTATTAAAATTTAAATAATTCAAAGTGTGCTAATTAATTATTTCATAAGATTTGTTTTGGATATTTCTGGGGTAGACGGTTCTGGCATCTCACAAAGTTATTCCGAGCAAGGGTGGTTAAATCATAATTGTATTTCCTTGGTGTCTTCCTATTCCAATCTCTGAGAAAGAAAGAAACATTCTTCAACTCCTCAACAGCTTCCATTGATAGATCCTGTGTAATTCGAACTACTTTGTTTAACTCTTTACCTTCATTTGGAGAGCTCCCTCACTAACCTCATTCAAACATCACTTATTTCTCCATCTCCTCAACTATCAACTTTCGGCACACATGTACGGAAAATCTTTCCAGCTAACTTTGTACATAGAAGCTTCTCTGTCTATATTTACTTTAACTATTTCTTTTTTTTTTTCTTGTGTCGTATTCCTCTTACTACATTATCATCACAGTTAATTTATTTTCTTATGTATCAGGCATTAATTTGTCTTTAGTTTATAAGTTAATTTAATTTTTATCAATGTAGCCAGATAAACGGTTACTTTGATGAATACTTTGTTTTTCTAAAAGGACTTAATATCCCAGAATAAAATTTAACCACCTTTCTTTCTTGGGTTAAAACTCATGAAGATTTTCATGAAAATCGAACTTTATCACGAAAAAAATTTAAAACAGCAGGCCAATCCTCAACAGGGTAAAATCGATAAACAGATAAATATTTATTGTATATGAATAAATTCATTATGCAACGGTATCACCAATTATCTCCCTAAAGGGATGCAAAAAATGTTAATTATTGTTACGAGGTGAAGAAGTGACACTCATAAGATCCAACTAATCACAAGATTCATTGCTATTCATCGTTATTGGTTATTGCGACTCATTTTTATTCAAATATGAATGAAGACATTATGAGACGTTATCGCCAATAATCCCCTTAATGGATACAAAAAAATGGATTTACTGTTTCGAGGTCAAGAAGTGCAACTAAGAATAAAACAATTACCTTTTTAGTACAAGTTATAAATGTAAATTTTTTTTATTTCAAGTTTATAGTTTCTCAAGTATAAGCAATTTGTATTCATCTTGTCTGGGCAAGCGTGCCCGATCAAGCTTGACTAATTTAATGCTAAGCCCGGTGAATTCTCAGGTCATTGCTATCCAACTCCTAACTTCCTTCACATACTAAGTCATCAACGATCATCAAATTCAGCTCCTCGGTTAAAAACCTGAGAATCGCCATTCACGAAAATCCCTCCTGGAAACAACATATTACCGTCATCTCCCGAAGGCTAATAGATACCGTTAAGTCATTGTATCGCTCCTGCCACCTACTCCCACAACCTATCCGCAAGCTCCTTGTATCCACACTTTGACTACGGCTGTGTGGTATCCGGATTTTAGTAGTGGAAAGATTGATACGACTCATGAACTACTTCTTAAGATTTATCTTCAGCACTTCTCATGTGTCCCACCTTTAAGACTTGTTAAAGTGGTTCTTCTCTTCTTTCCGCCGACAGAATTTCCATGCATATTATACCCAACGATCAAATCCCGGCACCCTTCCTACACCCACAGTCTCCTTCCTACAGTTCAAACTCTTAGTTCACTCACAAAAAACAAGATCCTATTTGTTATAAAACATTTGAATATTCCTTTCTTGTCCACTCTACTGCCTTCTGGAATTCCTTGCCATCTCCAATCCGCCATGTTTCTTCTTTGCCCTCATACAAATGCCTTCTTTACCTATTCCTTCTCATATCCCAAACGGCCGCTCTACAATGATGAAATAAATTTGATGAATAGAATTTCGATTGAAGTGAATGGTTGTTTAAATTGTTTTTATTCAAAATGTTGTTTATATATTGTCACTGAAGATATTTTATATATTGTTTAATTTGTATTAATGTAGTTTTTGACCAGATATTGTTTTTATTCTTATTTCATAATTATAAATAAGATATTGATAGATTCCCTGCTCTAACAGTATGAATTAAGAGTCGATAATATTCATTTAGAAGCAAGAGTGTTCATCTAAGATGCATTAGTTTGATCAGATAGTAAAAATGATCATTTCATGAAGGGGTTACGAAGAAGTACTTGGACGACAGACTTGAAGCCACGTCCCAAAAATGGACCTCATCGCAGTTAGAATTTTGAATGTAAAGTTCGAAAGACTATGTTATTTTTAATAAAATCAACCTTGTTTG